GAAGTAATCCTCCAATTGCGGTCAAAGTAGGATTCCCTAGATTAGGAGCTTGAGTACTGGGTGACACTCTGCCAGCTTGGCCGTGAAGTCGATGCAATTCTGAGTGGCTATGACGTCATTGCCGAGAAAGTAATCCTCATCACTCTCGATTAATACTAGAAAGTCGTATGGGCTGTAGGTCCATCGAGTAGTAAAGTTTTGAGGAAGTATTGGTATCACAATAGCAGTGATGAGAGTAATCTTGGATCCTGCCCTGCAACGCTTTCAAGGCAGATTGAAAGATCGACAAGCCAGCGAGAACGGTTAGCGTAGGGCAAGTATGATTGAGCCTCCGGAATACCTTGTCCCAGTTTTTTTCAGGATACATGTTTGGTACTGTTCATGGTAGCCGCAGATCTCCAACAACAAACTGGTCACGTCTGTTAATCTGTACATCCCCATTACCTCTAATTCACAGTTATCCTAGAGCAATGAAGGTGACAGGTTCGGTAGGAAGGAGCAAGTGTCTTTTCATGAAAAAAAAGCGTTTTGATCAAAGGCTCAGAAAGTGCAAGGCTGTATCGCATATTGGTGTGGGCCAATCATGTAGGCGGTATCAACGCCAGGCTGCACAATTGTCCCAAAAAATTTGTTCTTTGTTTGCCTACCTTGTCTTGATGATGAGAATCATCGCTGTCGACAATGCGGTGAGTGGCAAGCCAACATGTGGGCTGATGTATGCTCAATGATGCGGTGGCGATGCAGAAGTACTTGGCTACAGGGATATACGAAAGTGTCAAGTAAGGACTAATCTGATAGCGATTCTGCATCCATGAGACGAACCAGAATACAACATAACATCGAACCGGCATAAGCGGAGAAGAGACAGAAGTTTATACAAGAATGCTTAGTTGATGGGTGGTGCTAGTATAGTATTGTATTGTTCAGAAGTCACATATTTTTCACAACGATGCTCTCGTTGTGTTTGCAAATCAGTAGTGTCGATAGGCAGTGGGCGGTGATGATCATGATTCTATAGTAGTTTGTCAAGAAATAATCATACAAATATTTTTGACCTTATCTTGCATTATCCGCTGGATCCTACACCCAGGCTGGTCTTAGCTGCAAAAAACTGAACCGACGATATCGGGCATGGAGCAGGTACAGCGTTTGCAACGGTAGAGAAAACGAATCTCTTCAGCTGATTTTCAGAGAGTCAACTGGCTCTTCGCATTCTTGAAAGCACTAACTTCTACCTTACATGTAGTACTAGTGACACTAGACAGTGTGATCCCGTACTAAACAAGGAAGGTCACGCGCACAAACGTGACTGCACTACACGTATGACTACATACCTATCCCAGTAGAAGTTGTATCTTATCATCATGAACTTTTATTCCCTGAGCTCGCTGATGCGATACATGTAGCTTAAGCTAAAGTCTAATTACTCCAACAGAGGCCTACTTGTGCCTAACAGTAGGCTCTCTCCAGTGAGCCTTTTCGGCAATGTCCCACTTGATGGAGCTGTTACTTACTATACAAGAGTCAATGTGGTGAGAAAACCTCTCCTAATTAATCACGGCATTTTCCCATCATGTACAAGTTGTTCTCTTATCGCCATGGCTGGCTGTTCAGTCGATCGTGAGATACCTATAATAGTCCGTCGTGTGGGGGAAAATGGCACCCAGCGTTTCTCCTACGTTAGATAATATTTATTGTTAATTTATTATTATTATATAATTTATATTATTCAATTTATTTATTATTATTAATTTAATTTTTAATTTATTGGTCCTCTCTTTTTTTAAATAATTAATTATTATTACCGGTACTAGTATAAAATTAACACAATGTATTAAAATGCAATACAACATACACTGGAGAAGAAATCAGGAAAATAAAATATGAGCTCAAAAATGGAACGAAAAATAGCAAATAGAATCAAAACTCACGATGGAATCAAACTCATGATGGAAACTACAACCCAATGAGTTGGAAAACCAACCACAGAATTAGATATTGGGAATAGAGTCAGACACAACAACAACCGAAATCAGTACACCAAAAATCTGTCCTACAAAAAAGAAAGGAACAAGAAAAACAAGAAAGACGAAGTACAAAGAATCCCCAAAAAAGAGGGGAGAACGGGATGAAAGAGGACCGGAGAGCGGCAAACCCCAGGAGGACTTAGCGTCACGTAGTGGCGGGAATGCGGGCCTCCACAGAAACAGCATCCACATCCGCCGCCAGACCAGGTGCACGGAATGCACGGCGACTCCCACGAACCATCAGAACGGAGTCGCGGACAAGGCTGAAAGCCAGGTCCGTCCGCAGCTTTCCCATCACGAGGGGACAAGGCTGCGAGAGCTTGGTGGAGAGCTTCGTTCCGAGCAGCTTCAGGAACCGGGTGGCCTCCTTCGCCAGGGCACCAGCAGAAGACAGGACGATCGGGGTGAACGACGCGTGCTCAACTTCCCGGATCCGGGCACCGTATGCCGACTGCTTCTGACGCTCGTGCCATTGGAACACCTCAGCCAGCGGGCGAGATCGGTACGACTGTGCGTTGGGATAGAACACCCTTACATCAAAAAATGCATCAGTCTGTACCGACCAAAAACCCCTGGCCTTGATGTCCGGTCTGGCGTCGTCCGCAGTGAGCAGGGCAGGACCATGGTCAAACGTGCGGACCGTCGGTAGAGGTTGGAGCGGTGGCTCCAGCTGCACATCCTCAGACACTTGAGAAAGAAGTTGGCCCAGGTAGTTGCGGACATGGTTGTGCCGGTGGATGGGATAGCCGCCCAACTTGCAGATCATTGCGTGGTCGATGGTGAACGGCCGGCCGCATGGACACTCAGTAGGTGAATCGTGGATGGTGAGGCCATACCGAATGCATAGGGCATCAACGAAGGACCGCCGGTCGAGGGAGTATCCATGCTCGCGAACAGGAAGACAGGTCAGCCATGCACCTGTTCCCTTGGCCTTGAGGTGCTCCAGAAGCATTGGTGGTAGGGCCTCTGGACCAGCTGTCTGCAGGACGGTCTTGGTAGTCACAGACTGGGCTTGCTTGACAGCAGCCTTGGCGGCACAAATGGCTGCTGGGTCTACGCTATAGAGGGAGGACTGGTCCGCGATAAGTTGCTGGAGTCTGCTCGTGATGGACAGAGATGCTGTCCGCTGTTGCGGGACAGCCTCAACTGGATTGAGCACTGCAAGGCCACCATGACGCACAGGCAGAGCAAGAAGGCTGCGTAGAGGGGCAGGGACGACTGGCACACCCAATAGAGCTGGCAACAAGACGGAACGAAGAGAGGACTCGAGAGGCTCGAAGACGTCTGGTGCACAGCTCGACACGCGCATCAGGAATGTCCAGCGGTGACGGTACCCAAAGACCAGTGCGGCATACACGGCTTGGGGCTCGGCCTCGGCCACGTTGGCCAGCTCACGCATCTCAGATGCCCAAGCCTCCACTCGAGCATTGCAAAATGTTGTCTAGAAGGCTTCCGAGCCCAGAGGAGCACCCAGGTAGGGGCGGCCCTCAGTGGTGATGTGGACATTGGTGTTGGCGAATGCAGCGTTGGCAGCATCGAGATGCTCGGGCTTGACAACCAGCCAAGTCTTGGCAGCGTTTGGACAGTAGCCGAATGCTGGGCCAAGTTGACAGATCTGGTCCCACCAGGTGCGAAGGCGCTGCAATTTAATTAATTATTAGAGAAAAACAGGAAACATACTTATACATATTCCGAAGACCTGCCTTTGCCGCGTCCGCCTGAGCTGGCTCGAAAAGAAATGTAACTACATCATTCATTCAGTAATCTAGATTCGAGATCAGCCTTATGTTTGCTGTTCAGATGAACAGATCATGCCCGAAATCAACTCAGTGACAGCTTGTCTGCAGGCCCGTTGATGAGCTTCATCTACGTGATTCCTTACATCTTACCTAACATAGTTTACACCTTCCTTCTATTTTGCTGTGTTTTTTTGTGTAGTTGAGGTGGTCTGCTGCTTTACCGTCATTGTCACTACGCTGGTCTATAGCCTACGAAGCAATGCCCTCAGTAAACCTCGGACTTTGGAGCTTTCTCGACATTGTACACTAGGCAACTCCAAATGCAGCTCAAAGTGCAGGTCAAAATGTTCATTTCCGTCCTTTCCAATGCTCCATAAGGCTGTGGGGCTCGTGTAGTCTCATATTACCGAATATAATGCAGGCATTATGCGCTGGATCTTAGGCACAGTTAGTGTTTTTCTCAAAGTAGCAATTTATGTGATATTAAGTATGTAACTTTGGTGTCTCTCAATGGATTTGAGTGAAATTTTGACCACACATTCCTGCCACTATGCTGGCCCTCAGGAAATGATTTACAAGTTCTTGCGCCTCACTTACAGGCTTTCCAGGCCGGAAAAACTCAAATTTCCGGCATAGTGCCACGGTGTGCGAGCCACCCAGGAGCCAAACAAATGCATTTACAATTTTTTCACATTTTCGTGCTCATTCTGTTCGTGCGCGGGACTCAAACCTAGAAGAAGTCCAGAAGCAGCCATGGGTGATGGGGTAGGGCCCCTCAACGAGGCCCTGGAATCTGTCACAACGGAACGAGTGGGCGTTCTCTCACACACTCCCACAGACGTAAGTCAATTTTTGAATTTTTTTAGATTTAGCACGTGCTACGAGGTCGTACCTTTGATACAACATCCAGTGCTGGGACCTCCACAGCAAGCCATTTCCACAGCGCTGCACACCAAATACAGGATACCCTCAGAAACCAGGAAAGACTACCACTCACGTTTCACTACTGCCTAGTACTGAATCCTACCTGACTTCTTGACACGACTCAAACTTGCCAAAGTCACAAAATCAACGTCAACTACAATAATAAAGCCACATATCTGCAACGTCACGAGGATGCTGGCAAAAGTCCTGCTGCACGGCGGCGGGCTTCGCCCGCCGCCGTGCAGCCCAATACGTGGCTCAAAAACCTGATTTTTTGGACGTGTTTCCATGATACGACAAGTTGCGCATGGTCTGCTCACATTCAAATACAGTGCTGCCAACAAATGACAGCGTGCAACAAAAAAATCTTTCCTTGCAAGGGCACATTTTCTGCCATAACTCTTGAACGGCGGGTCAGATCGGGACACAATTTTCAGAGAATTTGCAGCTATTCATGCTCTTTCAACTGACGTAGCACTCAATATGAATTTACAAATTCGATTTTTCAGCGAATTTTTGGGTAGTCTGCCACCTTAAACTTGGACAATGTGCGAGCGCGCGCTCCGTTTTTAAAAAAACCCTCTCCTTAGAAATAATTGCCAAGATCGCTTGCCAGTGCGTAATGTAGTTCAAGAGGACAATTATGCTCAATGTTGTGAGTTCACGAAAACGTACCATGTACTCATTATTCTCTTGTCGGCATTGCAGGATGTTCAGTTGATCGTTAGATACTAGTCCATGTCGAATTTACTTCAAGTACAATCAATCATTTATAGGAAGCTCGGGCAAAAAGAACCATAGCAACAACAGCACACACAAAAGGAAATACAGACCACATGGTTTCACAGACAACAATCATCTTGCCCGACCGTTCCATGGCGTTTAGCAGTTCCGCTTTTGTCAGTTCCTTTCCACACTGCGACCTTTGTATAGTGGACAGTAGGTAGCTTCCCAGTTCACGGTAGAGAACCTCCTGGCTGGGGCGACTAGACGAGGGCAGACTGTGCCAGAGCTTGTCATACTCCATGACAGCCACGAAGTAATCCTCCGAATGCGATAAACGTAGGCTTCCTTTGATAAAGAGCTTGAGCACTGAGTGACGCTCTGCTAGCTGCACCGTGAAGTCTATCCAATTATGAGTGGCTATAACGTCATCGCTGAGGTCATTGTCAGCTTCCTCGAGTATAACAAAGTCGTATGAGTTGTAGCTCCAGCGAGTAGAAATGTGCTGAGGAGGGGTTGGTATCAGATTCTCACATCTTAGGGATAAGAGCAATTCTGGTTCTCTTCTTGACACGATTTCAAAGCATTTTGCAAGCTCAACTTGCCTGCAAGAGCGGTTCGAATATTTCAAGAATGTTGCAGTCTCCGGAATATCCTGTTCCAGTTTTTTCAGTATACATGTTTGGTAATCTTCGTAGGAGCCGCACATCTCCAACAACAAATTCGTCGCGTCTGCTAAACTGTACGTCGCCTCTTGTTCCAATACTCTACAATGTCTCTCAATCATTGAAGTTGAAAGGTTGGGTAGGTAGGAAGATATATCCTTTGATGACCGCCAAAACATACTGATCAAAGGCTGAGATAGCGGAAGGCTGAACCGCATTATGGATTGGGCTTGTCCTGTAGACGGCATCATCGCCAGGCTGCACAGTTGCACGAACATTAAGTTTCTTTGTTTGAACACCTGGTATTGATCATGAGGATCATCACTATGCACAACACAGTCATTGCCAGAATCAGCATTGCTATCATGTATGCTGGATACTCTGGTGGCGATGCAGAGGTGTTTGGCAAGTCTGATGTACGACAGTTTCAAATTTGGACTGATCTGATAGCGATTCTACATGCATAGGAAAATAACGACAACATACATTTATGATGAACAGGTACATTGGGTAAAAGGCAGTTTAAAGATTTAATTTGTACACCATACTTGTACTGTAACAGTGTGAATTGTATACATAATAGGGAAAGTAGACAGTTCAGCCATACTGGCCGAGGAAAATACTTGTAGCACCGGACAGCTCACAGCCTTATACATCTACACATGGTTCAACAATAGTCTGCCATTTTAAATGTAGTCGCAAGACCCCGTAAGCGATCAGTTACAAAGAGACCTGTTAGCCGAAAGTCTCACTCTAACAATGCATGGTTAGAAATAGCTAGCGCAATAAAAGAAGAAGAACTGTCTCGAAGAGGAACGTCTTTTTGAACTTCTTAGAGCAATATACATTGTAATGAACCTAGTTTTGGCAAAGCAACATCACACATTACTCACTTGACATAAACGCCTGAACATAGGTTCATTATGCAACAGCTTTCGGACGTCTCTCGTAACACCACATAGCTGAAAAATGTCCACAAGTGACAACAAACGTAATACTGCTGCTTCCCACACGTCAAAGAGAACACTGTTCAGTACAGGCTCGACTGAATCTTGCTCCATTGCTTTGCAGATCTTCAGTTCAGTTACACGGAGGGAGCTCGTTATATCACTGACTGATGCCTCTTGCGGTAGTTCGTCTTACACATATCTTTAATCGTCTTCAACAGCAATAAGAGGACCAACCCCTAGGAGAAATAAAACATAACTTACGATATCGGGCATGCTGCAGGTACAACGCTTTCAACGGTGGAGAAAACTAATCTCTTCAGCGAATTTGACGAGAGTAAACTGACCGTTCGCATGCTTGAAAGCACTGAATTCTACCTTACGTGTAGTACTAGTGATCGTGGGTTCTCGTAGTACGAAATAAAGGGCACACTCGTGAGTGGCCGACGCGTATGATTAGATACCTCTCTCAGTGGGAGTTATATCACATGGTCCCCAGAGATCACGGTAAAGATAGCTCATACCAAGAGTACATAACCAAGAGGGTGCAACTCCTATCTTGAGCTGCGATAGGTTCACCAACGGTGGAATTTTTTTTATTGCGTCATTCTTTCGCAGAAGCATGACGAAGTGGGTATGCTTTCTCCTGCTTGTTTTGTATAAACGGTGAGAGTTCGTCAGTTTCAAGAAACATCGAGCCATCGTCCGTTGTTCTGCTTTCAGTACCGTAGCTGTAATGTACAAATCATTAATTTTGTACTTTGATCTCTGGCTACGCATGATGGCATCAGTGAGCCAAACCGCTGCCAAAGACTGATAAAATAAATTATCGCCCCTCCCCCGAGACACACACCTCATAGCACCATAGAATGGGGTTGCATTTTTGTTGTTTTTGCCATGTGATTAAGCAATCACGATTGAAACGAGGGTTGCCTGCTGCTCCTCGTTGCTAGTCTTGAAGAAAAAAAATCACGCCCATCTGCTGCTGCTGCTAGCTGCCAATATTGATGCTGTCCCTGCATTCGCCACCTCCAACTGCTGAGGTGCCTCGTGCTGTCGCACTACCACACCTTGGTCCGCCCTGCGTTGATCCGGCCTCGTACTCTCGTACTCTGCTCATGCTGCCGTACTCTCGCGTTGTGGCCTCGTGGGTACGTCTTACGCTATTTGCGCTTGCCACGTGCTTATGTGGCCCGCCTTACCTGGCGGGCTCTCGCGCCTTATTTCCCATATAAGCATGGTGGTGTCTGTCATTGTGGGCCGGGCGGCATCCGGGGACTTCGCCTCTTCCATACGTGGTATGTTTGCTCCGCCACACCGCCTGTTCTATCTTGAGTACTCTGTTAGTACTGTACTCTGGCTGAGGCTTAGTACGCGCGCTGGAGTCCTTTCGTGCCATAAAAGGAACTGCTTCCTAATATAGAGATTAGGCGCCATGAGCCCTGCTTGTAGTAAAAATTGCATTAGTAGCGCTGATACCTTTATGCAAATATGGGGTAGTCTCGCCCGCGCATATGGGCGTACTCGTACTGCGGCCTGGGCTTTCCCCAGTACGGCTGCCCGCCATTGCATGCCAGACACCCCCATTGTTGCGCGCCTAGCCACGCGCGTGGCTTTTGCCTGCTGCTCGGTTGTCAGCGATAACTACGGTTTGCCGTACGCTGCAAACCTACATTTATCGCCCCTCCCCCGAGACACACACCTCATAGCACCATAGAATGGGGTTGCATTTTTGTTGTTTTTGCCATGTGATTAAGCAATCACGATTGAAACGAGGGTTGCCTGCTGCTCCTCCAAAAATAGGTTTTTGCATCTGTCCTGGGTGCCGTGTTTCCATGCCACCCAGCTAGTGGGAGGGCAAGCCTGCAGATGTGTGGATGTACCGCTTGTACGCTGAGCTGCGCCAACGTCCGGCTGCCTGCCGCTGCCGCTCTGGTGCCCGTTGTGCTGCCAACTCGGTGGCACCGCCCTTGCGCAGGGAGTGGCTACCGACCTCGGGGCGCAAAGCTCTCAGCAGTAGGTTGATGTCCTTCTGTGTGAGCTGCTTGCCATTGCCGTGGACAAAGAAGGGTGCCCCGGCGTTTGGCCACCGTCGCCTGGATCTGTATGCCATGACGGCCTCTACGGGACACAGCTCTTTGTTGGCTGCCGCTTAAAGCAACGCTGTGCCGCCTCTGCCGAACTGCGAGGTGTTGGTGGGACCAAGCTTGATTACCACCTTTGTCTGCGCTATCTGGACCTAAGCCACGGTCAGGGTGTTGAAATTGCGTCCTTAGTCCGTTGGCATTGAGGCATATACACCTACGCACAGCAGCCCGTAAAATGCCGTCAACAGTACTGCCCATATCATTGCTTTATCGCTTGCCGAGTGGGCGGACGTACCCACTTGCGCTTTTATGGTTAGCAGATCTGACGGTGCAACTGGTAGGCGCTGCCGGCCCGCATGGTTGCCTGCCTCCGACCTCCGTGTGTCAAATTGCGTTCGCTCGATGCCTTTCAATACGGCAAGGAGGCGTTGTGAGCGCAGTCCCTCTACGGACATGCCTTGCGATAGCAGGTGAAACCTTATCGCAGCCAAGTATACCTTTAAAAGTGTTGCCTGCAGGCACTAACTCTGAAAGTGAGGTAACAAAGCGCACAATCTCTTCGTTGTTCGGCTGAGCCGGGTTGAAGCCGACCGCTGACGCGGATTTCAAGTATGCTTTAATGGCTGGCTGGTATGTCTTACGTGTGCTGGGCGAGACCGACAATGCTACCAGGGTGTTGGCATCACGAGACAACTCGGGCTTCCCAACATCGCCTGTGCAGACCAAACGCATCTGCGAAAAAGTGGATGTTGTAGTGTGTCCTGCCTTTTCTTGACCTCTCATCCTGCTCGGACATGCCCTTACTCTAGGCCAAGCAACCTCCAAAAATAGTAGTGGGGATCTCCCTTAGGAGAGCTAATGCTATGCCTTGACCATATGTTCCTTGGTTCGCTTGACCGACATGGGATGCCGCATAGGCTCTGTGTGTCGCAATTCTGCCCCGCTTGGGTATACAGTCGCATTGCCATGAGCCTTATGGGACCCGCGCGTGCAGGCTGCGCGGCATGCCATGCTTGGCTGCGCTATTGAGGTTTTTCAAGCGGTCTGTGGCATGCACCAACTCCGCTGTACGCCATGCTAGTCCCGCCCGGGATGATTATAGACTTTAATATACTGTACGCACAGCGGCGCTAATTGGCCTTCTATAATGTATCCTTATGTATTATTATAATTACTGGCAACGCCGTGCTTGGCTGAGCTGCTTAAGTTTGTCAAGCGGTCTGTGGCGCGCGCCAGGTCTGCTGTATGCCATGCTTGTCCCGCGCGGGATAAATAATTATAGACTTTTTAAATACATTGCGCGCACTGCGGCATATAAATAGCCTTCTATAATATATGCTTAAAGCATGTCTTGTTATAATTTCTGGCAACGCCCGTGCCCTTTGCCAAGCGCATAAGGCAACGCCGCATATGCCCTGCGCGCCGCAATGCTGCCCGCATTGGTATACATATTGCTATACGCCTTATGGGACCCGCGCGCGCGGTCTACCTGAGAAGCCGTGCCTGGCTGAGCTGCTAAAGTTTGTCAAGCGGTCTGTGGCGCGCGCCAGGTCTGCTGTACGCCATGCTTGTCCCGCGCGGGATGAATATATACTTTTTAGAATGCATTGCGCGCACTGCGGCATCTAAATAGCCTTCTATAATGTATGCTTTATGTATTATTAAATTTCTGGCAACGCCCGTGCCATTTGCCAATCATATGAGGCAACGCCGCATATGCCCTGCGCGCCACAATGCTGCCCCGCATGGGTATACATAATTGTTGCTATGCGCCTTATGGGATCCGCGCGCGCGGTCTACCTGAGAAGCCGTGCTTGGCTGAGCTGCTAGTTTGTCAAGTGGTCTGTGGCGCGCGCCAGGTCCGCTGTATACCATGCTAGTCCCGCGCAGGATGAATATAGGCATTTTTAGAATACATTGCGCGCTGCGGCATCTAAATAGCCTTCTATAATGTATGCTTTATGTATTATTAAATTTCTAGCAACGCCCGTGCCCTTTGCCAAGCGCATAAGGCAACGCCGCATATGCCCTGCGCGCCGCAATGCTGCCCCGCATGGGTATACATAATTATTGCTATGCGCCTTATGGGACCCGAGATGCCGTGCCTGGCTGAGCTGCTAAAGTTTGTCAAGCGATCTGTGGCACGCGCCAAGTCCGCTGTACGCCATGCTAGTCCCGCGCGGGATGAATATAAGCTTTTTAAAATACAGTGCACGCGCTGCGGCGTCTAAGTAGCCTTCCATAATATATGCTTATGTATAATTGGGAGAGTCCCCCAACGCCTAGCATGTTAGGTTATCTCTGCTTATAAAATTGTACATAATCATCAAGGCAACGCCCGTGCCCTTTGCCAACCTCCTGCCACGGCTGTGATGATAATTAATTTTATAGCTGGGCTTTACCCGCCGCCCTGAGGCTGACCCTCGCGCTAAGTGTTAGCCCGGATGCCCGCATTGCCTGTGTGTCAGCCTATGCTGAACCAGTGGTGACGCAATATACATGCAAGCCGGTACATGCAAAAAGCGGAATGAAGACAGTCTGCCAGCCCTGGCATGCGCTTGCCAGGGAACCATGGAGGTGCGGTTTTGCGTGCGTGTTATTCATTGATGAAATCGTCTAAATAATGCTCAAAGTTCTCAACAGCGTGGGTTTCGCGTCAGATCCGCACCAGTGCATCAGCAAAACGATTAAAAAAATAAGGGTGACGACCGCAAGCCAAAAGGTCAGAATAATTATTTGTCTCGCCAACACGTGCCAAATCTTGGTCGATAAAGTCATTAACGCTATTCCCAGCAAGGGGCAGACCATGCATAATTAATCGGTGGCCGCCGTCTTTTTTTGGTACTACACCCGTACCAGACGTGCGCAAAGGTAAGAAAGGTGGCGTGTCAAAAGCGTCTCTAGTGTGCTTAAAAGTTTGCATTCCTTAGCTAAATAGGCATCTACAATAGCTAGATCTGTGGATGCAGAGGCAAGATTACTAGAAGCAACTGAAGTGCGCGATCGCCTGCAAACTCGATGCGGCAGCAAAAACGCAGATTGAACCAGATAGTTTCCACTAAGACCCGATCAGGGTGGCCAGCAAGCTCTACACTAACTGCATAAAAATTCATTGGTGTGGAGACTGAGTTTTAACTTAAAGAATTAGCAGATGTGGACATAGCGCTCTCGCGAACTAATGGCGGCTGTACAGGCGTGTGATGAGGCTTTTCAGGCCGAAGCGCGGGTGGGACACTCCATTGCTTGGTGTGTTCCCTTGCAGAACATGCACCTGAGCTGGTAGC